GCAGAAACCACACCCAGCTTGCTAGGAACATAATGGGAGAAGTCAATTAGTAGCACCTCTTGTACAGTAAGTTACTATGCCAAGTTGCTGATTTGGCATTTGCCCCGGGGCATCATCTAGGAGAATGAAGAATCCTGCACTTACTTGGCACTTTTTAGGCCAAGGACTGGAAGCAATTAGGAGCTACAGAAAGATTTTATCATCTCTTCACCTTGGTGAGTATAATTTCTCATTCAGGAATAAACCAGGTCTGATGAAGAGAGAACTCTTACAAGTAAACTAAGGGCTGGGAACCATCTAAGGAGATGACCCTGTAGTAGTTGCTTTTAGCTTCATGGCCAGGGCTATGGATTGAATAGCTCTCTGCTGTATTAGTCTTCAAAGGTGTCGTTAATAGAGTCCTAAGATGTGTCATGTGTCATTAACAGAGTCCTAAGCCCTAGATATGATAAGGAAACAGGCAGGCTAGAGTAGTAACATAATCCCAGATGAAACCATGGATATCTATTTTATAGTTTGATGATCTGCAGGGGACATTTGGCAGCCTCCACAGTGGGTGAAAGAGCAGACAGATGACAGGATGTACCTGATCCTTTCGCCGGTGGGTTTGAGTCCACACAGCCCACAGAAGCTGGATGGCAGGCGGATACTCCCAGCTATATCTGAGCCAATTCCCAGGATGGAGCCTCCTCCCCCGATCAGAGCTCCCTCCCCTCCAGAAGAACCTCCAGGGCTCTTCTTGTGGTTCAGAGGGTTCAGCGTCTGGCCAAAGATGAGGTTACTGCAGTCATAGCTGTGGAGAGAGAAATCAGCAGATGGGTGAAGTATTTCTGTCTCTGCAAACTATAAATACCAGGCATTGAGCATTCACAGAGGCACGAGTGTGGAATTAATCCTGGAGAATAGAATCAATACGAAATAGATTTGTTGGGACAGCTGGATTTAGGAAGAAAGGAGCATCAGATACAGGAGAAATAAATTCTTGTCTCTCTAGCTTTCTGTAGAAAAGACAATGAGGAAATGACTCAATTTGAAATAAGAAAGTAATTAATGTGCCTGATTTGTCTGCACAGGGGTGGGAGTTGGTGCATGCAGGTGCACTCTCAGATCACAGGAGTCGCATGGTGTAACAGCATTTGCATGAAGGAGAACACGTGATTACTTTATCATTGTCTGTGGGCTGTTGGTTTTCACAAAGGGGATTGCCCCCTGGCTCTTTAAAACCTGGACGATCACACTGTCTTCCTCCATCACTTGGCCCAGGAACTTCACCATCCCGCCAGAGGAGACGTGACCCTTAAGGATTGGAAACAAAGCTCTTCAAGGACCAGGGAAGTTAGAAGTTTTCCAAGAAAAAAGAAAAAGTCTTCAGAAGAAAAGTGAATTTGCTGAGTCCACAGATATTCATTTCAGAACATCCTTTTCCGAGGGAACTCCTGGCCATTCCCAAGGAATGGGCCCAGATCTGTTTGGAATCCTTTTATCAGGTGGAAAAGAAGAGCTGTCCCTAGGCCCAGGCCAAGGACAGAGAAGGGTCAGGGGAACCAGGGATGTACCTTGCAGTTAATGTGGTCCTTGATACTGACAGGAATGCCGTAGAGGAGCCCCTTCTCCTTCTGCTGCTTCACTTTCTGGAGCTGATCCTCACAGCCATGAATGAAATCTATCACACAGTTCACTTCCTGCGTCACCTCCAAAGCCTCTCCGGAGGCACAGGGACACGGTGAAGAACAGTGAAATGTGTGGACAGAGAGAAAACAACAGCATTTAAATTTAGACTTCAAGCCGAATATTCAGTCCTCAAACCTCCACCATTCACTAGTCAGACGTTGCCTATAGACTTTAGGTGTTACCTGCTGAGATAATTTCCTGCCCTAGATCTCTCTCTGATTGATTTGTCCATAAGCCACCGTTCAACTACTATGGTTTTGACAAACTGTGATCCCCAGCGTTGCCAGTGAACCCAGCAAACAGGCTCTTTTTCAGTTTGGAAAACCCCCCTCATGCTGTTTGTGCATCAGATACGCTGGAGAGGTCACTCACTTTGCCTATGTAGGAGTAGAGGACACTCTCCAGGGACAGCGACCCCTCCTTCAGCTTCTCCACCAGCTCCACCATCGGCAGGGAGAGGATGTGCTCGGTCTGGACCCCCGGGTTCTGCAAAGGGTAGAAATTGGGATGCACAGGGGAGAGAGCCGCAGTTTTCACCAGGGAAGAGTCGAGCTCACCCGAAAACCACTTGAGGTGTATTCGTTCCCATCACTGGATGGTTTATTGCTCCTTCTCTTTAGCAGCATCATTGAAGAATATTGAAGAATATCAAAAGAATCATAATAAGGTTACTTCAACCTTAAAGTGTACTTTAGTACACTTTCAGTGTACTAAAAATGATCCCAAGGATAAGCATGACAATTTCAGGCAGTAAAAAAATATCAGGTATAGTATACAAAGGAAATACAAATATAGTATTTCCTTTATGGTATATAAAGAAAAAAAAAAAAAAGCTTCAAGATCTCCCACAAAACTACTTTCTTGTTTTTCGATCAGTTCTAACATCTACCCAGTGACGAGCTTGAATGCAGCATTTTAAGGGATGTTAAGAAATGCAGACCTGGCCCAAAGGAGTGTGCTGGAGGAGGGGAATTTCCCATGTCTTGGTTGCTAAAGTAGAACAAAAAAAAAAAAAAAAAAAAAAAAAAAAAAAAAAAAAAAAAAAAAAAAAAAAAAAAAAAAAAAAAAAAAAAAAACTTTTTGACTGAGGAGTTGGGTGAATGTCTAAGAGCTTTGAGTGGCCAGTTTGTGTTTATTTTTTTCCAGGCCTTTGCCCCCTTGCAATTAATAGACAATGTGGTGAAGGACAGTTGAACCATCTGAAGGTTTTCAAAATTTATCATTAACTTGAGAGAAAAAGAATGTCTGGAACATTTGCAGCACCCTCTCCCCTCCCTCCGCCCTACAAAAATAAAAAAGATAGCGACAAGAGCTTATTTTGATTTATAAACACATCTTGAATCCAAGGACAGAAGCTCCCCCGCACTTTGAGGACGAGGGGACAGCCAGTTTCCCACAAAAGGAGAGAGGTGAGGGGACAGGAACAGAAAACGTTGGCAGTGGGGAAAGATGAAGATGCAGTGGTGCAGGGAGGACAGGGAATGCTTTCCGAGGTTGGCAGCCCTATGCACGGAGGCCCAAGCTCTGGTCCACCAGCAGTCCACAGGATTCCTACAACAGGTCTGTGTTAAGCAATACTGCCTTTATGTTGCCTTTACAGCGCTTTCCTGACCAAGGAGCGTGGTGGCCCTCAAAAAGAGTTGGTGCTGACCCAAGGCCCAAGCACATCACGGGTAGGCACTGTTGCACTAGTCACCTCTCAAAAGGCGGCTGATCGGGACTCCCACCTTTGTTGGGACATCCAAAATATAATTCCTTCCTCCCAGCACTTTTGCCCAGATTTACTTCTTTCTCCCACCTTTGTTGGGATACCCAAAACATAATTCCTTTCTCCCAGCACTTTTGCCCAAATTTACCTCTTTTTTAAACCTGGAGGCTGCTTTCTCCATTCGCTCCAGGCCCCGATCGCGCGTCCTCCTTGCCTCTTCCATTTTCTGCTGGATCTGTCTTTGGCTCAGCCATTTCAGCAGCATAGTGGCTGCAGCTGAACCACAGAGCAGGGCTGACAGCAGGCGAGGATCTGCCCACGAAGGATCTAGGAGCTGCCACAGTCGCTCTTGGGTCATATCTCTCCCAGATCTTCCTCTTCTGGTGTACAGATACCTGGAGCTCCTAGTTTCTCCTCGGAGAGAGGTGCTGAATGCACAGGCTACTCAGTTCTGTCCTGTGCAAGAGCAACTCTGGAGCAGAGTTGTGTTAACAAAGTCCAGGAACAGCAATTTTAGACCACGGACTTTGAAAGGGTCTGCCTGGCTGAGCAGCGTGCTCAGATCACCCTGGGTTTGGAGGGGGTGTCCCCAGGCTGTCCTCCCCAGACCGCTGCTGCTGCTGCCTTAGCTGGCTACAAGGAGGGGACAGAGCTGATTAACTGAGCTGGAGGTCTGCAGAACCCAGCTCTGGGCTGCTCCCACCACACCCACATCTCCAGCAATAATTAATTAGCAGCTAAGACCACTAACTAGAGGTGCTCAGCTGTCTTCTCTCTCCCTGACAACAGCAGCACTCTCAGCCTGGGGAGAGTGGTAACTGTTCACCCCAAGGGCACAAGTTTAACAGTAGTAAATAAATAGCTTTTTTTTTTCCTGCTGGAGGTTTGCTGCAACCTCTCTGTGACACTGTTACTTTTGGCAAAACCTACTTAGCTCGGAAGGGGAAGAAAAATCTACCCAGCCACAAACCCTGCCTGGCCCTTTGCCATGAGAGCTTAAATGACCTCGGATCCGTGTCCCTCCCAGGCACTCTGGGAACTTGCCAATCCTCCACTGCCAGCTCCAGGATCAGCTCTAGCCAGGGAATGGAAAACCCAGCTGGAAAATCTGGCCTGGCTCCCCCCAACCTATGGAGCAGGGAGCATGCAGGGCCGAGTGTCCCACTGGATGCCAGACACCTGCACCCTGCTTCCACCTGGGGTGCAGCAGGCTGGTGTTGGGGAAGCAAGAGGAGGTGTTTGTTCAGCTCCAGGAGCTAATAACCACTGAGGGCATCTCCCCTGTGAGCCCGAGTGCTGCTCTGGCTGCAGGTGGGTGCTGTGGGATGCTCCCAGCTCCTCCCTGTTTGCTAGGGGCTGCAGTTCTGATCTCTGATTGCTGAGCTGCAGCAGGCAAAAATACTGTATTTCTTCCCCATGGATCAGCTTCCCTGGAGCAGAACATTTAGGGAGCAGCTCTCTTCCTATGACACTGTGAGCCAGAGTCTAAACAACTGAGACAAAACTAGCATCCATGCCTCAGTTTCCCCACTTGTAAATCATATTCTTCCACTTCCCTGGCATGTGTTGAGAGGATTATTTAATTCCCATCCAAAACATGAAACGACAGACTCCTTTCAATAGTAAAAAAGATTGTATTAGGATAATCGTTGCAAAAACTCCAACCAAGTGGATGGTGCCTCTGTTTCCCCTTGTACCCACCACAGCCACCAGTGCAGCCTGATGGGTGAGAAAGAGTCCTATGAGTTAATTAAGTGATGGCTTCTGCCATTGTAAGCACCACTCAGGTGCCGCTCCTGGTGAGCGCACGGGCCTCAGACGATTCTGTTTTTCTCCTCGGCGAGCTTCTCCACTTCACGCATGAACCGGAGGCAGAGCTCCTCCTGCCATGGCAGGGCCACACACTGCACGGCCACGGGCAGCCCCACGCTGCCGCTAAAGCCCTGTTGCAGAAAGAGTGGCATGACGGCAGGGAATAAGTCCGCAGGATGGGCTGGGGGTGCCAGCGTTCCGCAGGGCCCTGGTGGTACTCACCTTCGCCAGGATCCGGTCCCAGTGGTCCCCGTAGTGCCCTTTGTAGTTCTCCATTTCATCCTCATCCTCATCTGTCACGGTAGTGACGGGGACGACTCCGGCGGGGAAGTCCAAGCAGTTATACAGGATGGTGTAGCTGGTTGCCACTGTGTGAGAGGCGCGAAATCCCAGCATGAATTGGGGGAAAAGCCCTCTGCATGGCTGTGGCATGCGAGTTACAGCAAATGCCCAAAGCCACTTCTGGTTAACAGATCATTTGTATCGAAAAGACAGGGTCTGTGAGAAGTAAATCTTGCCCTTTGACTCCCTTGTTCACCAGGATGGCTTTTGGTGGCTTATCCATGATAATGGACCTTCAGGAGCCCCAAGAGCTGAGTTCTCCCCACCTGAGCAGTGCCTTGGAGAAGCTAGGGGTGAAGGTCAGTGTTTCCCTTACAGACTGGTACGACGGGAGAAGAACACTGGAGGTAAAGGATTAAGGGTGATTACTCCTGCATCCACAGACAGTCCTACCTGCAAGTTTCCCCGGGTAGCCGACAGGAAGAGCAGGACCCAGCACGGGGCAGAGCATGACATCCAAGTTCAGCTTTTTCCACTGGGCGATGAATTTGTGGCAAGACTCCTGAGGAGCAAAAGCACCACGGGTCAGCAGGGCAGAGATGCTGCCACCCACCTGCCAGCTGAAAGCTCTCTGTGGGCTCCCACCCTGGCTTCCAACTCTTCCCCAGGAACAGCCACCAGTTCTGGGGCAAGGCATGTCAGGCCCTGATAAAAAAAAAGTCCATGAACCATTTGCTGCTTGTCTGGCAGCCCTCCCTGCAACCAAAGCACCTTTTCCTCTGCTAAAATTGGAGGGCAGACAGACAAATAAATCAAAAAAAACCCACTAATTCAAGAAAAGGAATGTGGTTTTTAAGTTTGACTGCTGGCTATTGGATCGACCTCTTCCCACAAAGACAAAGAATGAAAAAAATATCCAATACTCTAAATGGTGCTCACTTACCTCAATCTCATAGTGAAGACTCCAGAGGTCTTCCACTGTGCTGGACAAGGAAGTAAAACATCTCAGTCTTTGTATTCCATTTATCAGCTGCCCCTTATCAGTCCCTTTCAGCCCTCCCACTGAACTTACATGACTGGGACTCTTCTAAAAGGCCAGTCCTAGATGAGACAGAGCAACCAACCCCCTGATGCAGGGCCAGCTTGGAAGGCACAGCACAGAATACACCCTCTCTGCTATGGAATTCAAGTGCTTTCTCACCGCTGGCAGCTCAACGCTGGCATCAGAGCAGGTGAGGGCAAGCCTCCATTTCCATGCCTTTACCTTTCATTCTGTCTTAGGCAGCCTCTACTTCATACTGTGATGGATTCATCAACCAGTGCTGAAGCTAACAGCATATTTCATGCCTGCAAAGTTCATCTGTTTCATAAGGAAGAGGCTGTGACCCCCGTCCCCACCACCATCCTCAGTCAAACTCCACAGAGTTGGCACTGGCATAAATTAGCTCCCTTTGCTCCCATCATTGCCTTATGTTTTCTCAGATGCACGTGACTGTGCAGTATTCCTAATCTAGAAAACATTGGTGTCTATTTTTTAAATCCAAAAGAGAAACCCAAAACTTTATCCTTTAGCTTAGACTCAGATTTACTCACTTTACTCTTGAATTTCTTAACATACTCGAAAATCGGGGCATCTGAGAAGGAGAAAGTTGTAAAGAAAAGAACTTATATTAATTATAGTCTTGTCCTCCTACATAGCAGTGGTACAAAACCAAGTTGTTGACTCAGTGCTCAGGCAGAATTTGTGGATTTTCTCCAAAATGGGTACAGGGGTAACAGTAATGGCATCACTCCGGCTGAGAGGAGATTTGTCTAAATACAGCCAGGAAGGAAAGCATGGAGCCCTGCCCATGTTAAAGCCTGATTCCAATGGGAAACAAGTTATTCATCAAGTATTGCTTGATTATATCTATGCTAGGAAGAAATAAATCTTACAAAGGGTTTGGTAATCCAGGACAGGACAGTTTTTAGCCAGTCGGGTGTCCTTGCCATCCACAATAACAGTCCCATGTTGCCTTGGACCAGCTCCCCTTTGCTGAAAGGGAAAAGGGTGTTTAGCTGAGCAGCATTAGGAAGCAATTACAGTAGATTAGCTTTTGTGTGGCCAACCAACCTGAACAATGCAGTTAAGAGAGAGAAAGAAGTTTTCTTCATTCCTGTGGGTTTCCAGTTCCCATTTGGACATTGTGTTTGGACATTTATGAGCTATCTGAATCTGACTCCCTTTGATCTGCCACATGCTGGTAACGCTCCCAAACAGCCCCAAGGTTCAGCTGAATTGTTTGTAAGTCTCCCCATACATTTCAGTGGGTGCAACCACTATGTATTTCCAGTGGATCTACTTCTCACATACAGAGACTTGCCTTGGACACCCTGAAGTGGGGAAACTGAGAAGCAGCAAGATTAAATAATTCACACAGGACATCTACAGTAAAGCTAGGAACCGAACCCAACTCTACCTCTTCCAGATCTAACACCCAGATAAACAGCAGACCTGTTTCCCTTTGATCAAACCAGGGCTACACTAGACCTAAATTTAACTCATTGTTTGTTGGAGAAACCCAGGCTTCTCTAAGGGAAGGCACTGATAGAAAGGTACTGATCACACCGAGCTGTTCCAGGCTAAACTTACAATTTCTTACAAAATGAGCTGCCTCCATCTGCAAACAGTCCTCGGACACATAAGTTAAAAATGTAGTAGTTGATGTTATCGAGTTCAAAGGGCACCAGCTGAAACAACAACAGAAGAGGAGTCAGTGCTACAGACACAACAACGAGGTGGGAGAAGCCATCGGACCTTGTGGTGCCCTGAACTGGGTTTCTTTCGGCTAACACTGAGAATTTCTTGACAGGATCCCTCAGGAGAGCCTATGGTACCTGAGGCCACCAGGTCCTCTCATTCCAACCATCCGTACCACTAAAAAAGCAGTTTTCCACTTGAGTGACAATTGATGATTCAAAAGATGCAGGATGGGCTTGTTTGCCTGAAGCTGCAAGAGGCCCCAGGGCGCAAGAAAACCCTTTAAAATGCTGCAGTTGGGGACAGAGAGCATGAATCTGCAGTCTCCACTCCTGATCTCTGTGCAAGGGGTTATTGCCATGTCCTACCGTGTGACCAGCATCCTCCAGAAGCTGCTTCATCTCCCGAACAGCACGTCTCATGGAAGGGCTTGGCATGGTGAAGAAATCGGTTTCATAGTAGCCTATGCGGAGCGGCTTTGTGCTAGAATACACCTGTGGAACAAGAGCATGTGGCAGCTGGAGCGGGGCCAGCCCTGTCAGGAGCTGGCAGAACAGCCATGCCTGAGGACAAGACTGGAAAACAGTAAATTTCTCACCCACGTGCCCACCCACAACATGCAGCAGGCTGGAATGGGTCCCGGGCTGCTCCCAAAGGCAGCTCTTCTCCGAGCTCATCCCCGTCTGGACTCCTTTACCTCTTCGTTGAAGGGAAGCGGGGGAACTGTGCTGTCCAGGTTGAACATGTCTTCGCACAGCAGTGCTCGCATAGCCAGCGCTAGGGTCTCCACCTTTTTTGCCATCGGCCCCACTGCTGCAACCACTGGAGGAGACCAGAAAAGAGCATTCATGCTTGGAGAGGGAGGTGTCTCTTCAGAGGCTGCACAGCTTGCATATGGGACGTTCTCCAAAAGCAGGGCCCCTTGGTGTAGTTTTGATCCAATCTAGTATTAGCAACAGTTCCTACTAGCAGTTTTCCTCTCCCACAAGTCCTCACAGCAACAACTGTGGATCCAGAGTCATTATTAAATACCCAGACATCTTGCTCAGAGATTTCTTGTTTCTGACCAGACAGAATCAGAGGAAAAATGGTCCTCCAATGGTCCTGTACAACTGCTCTTACTGGCGTGCAAGACACAGCAGGTCTCCCAGGGAAAGCTCCCATGCCCAGTCTTGCTGCCCTGAGTCGACTGTGTGATGCCACCTGGGGCTAGTTTTGGAAAAAGATCCTAGAAGGGAACTTTATTCTCTCAATGTGTTGAAGAAGGTCCCCCATACCAGCTGAGGTTCCTTCCCATCCCTGTCCCACTCCCCTCCCTGGAGGACAATAATCAATTCCTACCTGACTTCTGCCCAGGGATTCCAGAAATGGTGCCTCTCTTGCTGTGAAGTAAAGACACAACAAACAGCAGCTGAGCAGTTTTCAGAGAAGGGAAAGTCTTCAAGGATTAGCAAGTGCTGGTAAAGCACTGTCCTTCCTGAGTAAATGCAGATGTCAAGCAAGTAAAGACTGAGAGAAGGGCAAGGAGAGAAGCACCCAGTCTGGGCTGGAATAATTTACACCTTACCTGTCAAGAATGACCCCCACCCTCCTTAATATGGGGACAGGAAAGTCTCCCCCATCTCTGTTCTGGGAGAACATTCCTTTTTGGAACAATTCTTCCCTTCATGCAGGCCCCAGGATATGTTTGGGCAGCGGGGAGAAATGAGCCCTGCCTGTTCCCTTTGACAAGGGAAGCAGGAACATCCCGGCACAGCAGGCAGTGGGGTGGCAGGGTAGGTCTCACCTGGGCAGCTGCACTACTTGCAGTACCTGAGTCTGTTCCCGGTGGGTTTGAGCGCACAGATCCCACAGAAGGCAGCAGGCAAACGCAGACTCCCTCCAAGGTCTGTCCCAAAGCCCAGTATGGACCCACCTCCTCCTATGAGTGCCCCTTCTCCACCAGAGGAGCCTCCGGAAGTTCTGGTGTAGAGCGTAGGATTGAGCGTCTGGCCAAAGATTACATTATTGCAGTCATAGCTGGAGAGAGAAAGAGGGGATATAGAGAGAAAGCACACGTGCAGATTAGAGAACTGTAGTTATCTGTTGATGTGGAAGGGCACATAAAAGAGTTCCAAGCCACAGGCTGCCTTTAAAAGCCTCTATAAATAGGCAATTCATTAGTTGTTCCAGTGACATCCCTTAGGCCTAGAGAGCTTCCCAAAGCTACTGAGAAGACCGGCTTTTTCACATTGGTCTTGGGACTTGAATTCACTACAAACTAATTTTAGTGCCAAGTCATCCCCACAGCGGAGAGAGACCCTCAAGCAGCTCAAATGCATCACACCTCTTGGGAAGACTCCCCAGTTAGGCGATACTGAGGGCTGCTGGCCATCAAAGCAGCCTGCCCAGTGCAGGTCTGGAGCCTCCTATGGTGGGAGGAGGGCAGAGCAAGAGCCCCTGCTTGGGAATGGGCTGGATGCAATCTGCAGTGATACCTGAACACTGGGCTTCCCCAGGAACCAGCATAAAATGTGATAATCTCAGGGGGTGACCCTTCGTGTAGCTTCCCTCCCACACAAAGATTTTTTTAAATTTAATTTTATTTATGTATTTATTTTTTAAAAGAATGTGGCCAGTCATTGCCACAAAATTAAGGCAGTTTGCAGGGACTCAATAGTAGTCATCCACAGAGCAGCTTGGCCAGAGCTCATTTGATAGGACACATGGATGCTAGCACGGGAGCTCTCCAGGAAAGCACATCTTATTTCAGCGATACCAATGACACTGAAAGTGGTCTTGCAGCCACATCAGAGCTTTGATGGGCAGTATAATGCCCAGGAAAAAGGGGCAGATTTCTCCTTTCCTCTTCTTTTGTCTCTTTATCTCATTTGGAATCACAATTGATTTTCATTATGAGTAGCTTTTAAAGAGACTGAGGAGGGGGAATAGGTGTCATCATTTAAAAAAAGAAAGGGGAAATGAGAATTAGCCTGGAATTGATATAAGCCCTCCTGTGAGAGCAGGGACTGAGGAATACCACTGCCACCAGGGAAAGGAGGAGGGCAGGCAGCTCTTCACCCACCTGATGAGGGACTGAGGGACGTTGGTTTTCACGAAGGGAATTGCACCCTGCCTCTTCAGCACCTGCACCAGCACGCTGTCCTCTGCTGCAGGCTTATTGATGTTACTCGCAAACCCTATGGTGGAGTCGTAGCCCTGGGAATGGAGGATACAGAGGTTTCCAAATGGAAAAACGCAGTTTTCTTCAGCAGTGTGGTGTTCATGTAAATGCAGAGGAACTTTTAAGAACCCAAGAGTGCTTGTTCATGTAATACATCGTGTTATTTATAGAGGTATGTGAGTCCACCTCCACTGCCAGTCATCCTGGTTTGTGTAGGGATGTCACAAGGACAACAGACAGACTGGGGTCCCCAGGGGAGATGGTAAGTGCTCGAAAGCTGCTTTTCCACTCTCCAGCTGGCCTCCTGTTTCCTCCCCTTTTCCTGCTCAGGGAAAGAGGTCACAGGGCTCTGGCACAGCTGTGGTGGGAAGAATGGTGCTCAGGAACTGTGCTACTGGCTGAGACACAGATGGGACCTGCCCTGCAATACTCCGCCAGGGACTGACAGGATATTCTGGAGCAGAGGAAACACCTAAATAAATCAAGGAAGAGCACTTCAGGAGAGCTCGTGGAGACACTCACTCCCATCCAGCACGCACACTTACTGCCTTTATAGTAAATCCTACCAGTCTTCTTCATTTGCTCCTGTGGGAAGTGGGCAGCAAATCCCATCACTTGGCAGGGCAGGGGCACCCACATCTGCTACAGCAAGTGCTGTGGTGCAGCCAGACACGGAGGTCAAACCTCGCCTGCCACCAAACCTAAAATCGTGGGGACCTCGGCTCAGGCAACGCTGGCAGTACCTGGCAGTTGATGGAGTCCTTGATGCTGACGGGCACCCCAAAGAGCAAACCCGGCTTCTCTGGCCGTACTGCTTGCTGGAACTTGGTCTCACTTTCCCACATGTATTCCGTGATGCAGTTGGTCTCTCTGGTGATTTGGAGGGCCTGGGGGGAACCAGTAAAGCCCACAGGTGAGATGCAGCCTGTGCTGTTAGACAACCACTATCTGGAAAAGGGCACTTGACTCTTCCCCTTTGCCCACATCCTCATTTGGGCAGTTTTCTCTCAGGGCAGCCCTCTATGCCTCTTTACCAGATGTTTTCATGCCAAATTCAAAAATGCTTTCTGGATGCAAGGGGAGCACAGCATCAGCTGGTACAAATGGATGTGTCTCAATAGATACCCTGCCTAGCAGGCTGCGAGAGGCTGTTCCTCTGATTGCACTGCTGTTGCACTAAACAATACACTTCACCCAAAGTGTAAAGCAGGAGAGGTCAGGACATTTTGGCAAAATTAGAGAAAACACTGTGTCTTTGAGGCTTTCTAACCCACTTTGTCAGGGAGTGGGAGACATACGAGCATGCAGTTATTGAATAAATATATCTGACAAGGTATCGATTATCCATGTCCCCAAATGCATATGGACTTCCCAGAAACTGTGTTTGCTGCCTACTTTTCTCCAAGCCAAGATGCGAGCCAGACACCCAGATCTCTTTAGCTTGCAGCAATGTGCTGACAGAGCCAGGGCCACCCGGCAGGCGGTGGCAGCTCAGCAGCATCTGAACCAAGCAGTATTTTCCCACTGGGCTTCTCCCAACAGAACTGGTGCCAGCTCCAGTAAGATACCACCCATGCTCCTCACCTTGCCCACGTAGGCGCAGAAGACGTACTCTGGAGGGAGAGAGCCATTGCGGAGTTTCCTGGTGAGCTCCGGCAAGGACAGGGAGAGGATGGAGACCGGGTCCACAGAGGGGTGCTATGGGAAAGATCGGACAGGGAATGGCCCGTTGTTTCAACCCATCATTGCTTTGGCTGATGCACCAAGGGCTCTGCCTCTGCCCTTCGTGCTCATGCTAAAAACATCTGCCATTCACGATGCCAAATGTTCCTGATCCACAGGCTGCCTCAAGGCTGCAGCCCTGCTCCTGGTGTATATGGGAGAAAACCTGCTGAGTTGGTACAAATGCGAGGCTGGTGGGCTCCCAGCCAGCCTGGTGCTACCCCACACCTGCTGTTCAGGAGGAGATCTTCACAAGAGTGGCTGCAGCTGAGCCGGGGGCTCTGCTCCCCGTTTTTCCCTGCTGAATGGCAACATACGCTCACTCCGGGTGTGCAGATGCTGCTCCAGCCAGGAATGAGATCGTCCATGGCACCGGCTCTCCTGGCGTCACCGTGGCCTAGGGAGAGTTGTTTCCTAGTGCAGGGCTCACTTTTCAGCCAGCAGATATTTTCCTGCTGTTTTCTAAATATTTTGAAAGCCTCCCTCCCCAAGCTGGGCTCCGAGCCTGGGAGAGTTTGCTCATACCGCGGGCTGGGCGGTTTGACGGGAGGGAAGAGGCACTCGTGAGCTGGAGCTGAGCAGCAGCCAGCTGGACACGAGCCCCGGCCTCTGCCTCGGCTCCGTCCCTGTCCCCTGCCCTGCCGGCACCGTCCCTGGGCTGCGCGGCTGCACTTTGGCCTCCGCCCACAGCAGATGCCCTCTTGCCTCTTCCTACTGCCTCCTTATTAGTCATGCTGGGCATTTCACCGAGGAGGAAGAGGCCAAGGAGCACGAACGGCGCTTTCAAACTGACAGAAGCGGCAGCTTCTCTCCTTTCAAGCTACATTTTGCTGACACCTGCTCCGCTGCCCATCGCCCCGCCTCGTGCTCGCAAAGAGCATGCAAACCCATAAAGCTTTTCCTCCCCCTCTCAGCTACACTGCCCAAAGGGGTTTACCCTTAAAGAGGGTGCCAGCATTTCTAACGGGGTGCATGCACACACAGGTTTTAGGAGGAAAATCCACCTGATTAGGAGTCCAGCCCTTAGAAATAAGCCAGGACCCAGGCAAAGCTCCAACGCTGCTGCAAGCTTTGCAAAAACAGCCCGGCCTCCCAGCAGCCCGGCCTCCCACCAACCCAGCAATTGCCCATTGCAAAGCCACAGACCCTGTGCCTGCAAGAGGGGTCTGCACCCACCACCCCTGCCTGCCCTGACAGCAATGAGCCTAGGTGGGGTGGGCGCTTCGCCCCCTTTACAGCCCCCCACCGTGGAGATGATGGCACCCACCTTCTTCCGAAAGCCCAGCCAAATCTTCTCCATCTGTGCCACGCCGCGCTCGTGCTTCAGCTGAACCTCCTTCACCTTCTTCCAGAGCCTCCTTCGCCACTGCCACCGCAGCAGCAGCAGGAGGCTGGCGGCCGAGCAGCAGAGCAGCGTGGGCAGCGAGGGCAGATGCAGCCGCGCCATGGGGGCCGTCACCGCCACCGGGGTGTCCCCTCTGCTCCGGCAGCACCGCGCGCCTCCTGGGGACTCTCCCTGCCTGCTCTTGGCGGCGGCGGCGGATGGGGAGCGAGGGAAGGGGCAGGCAAAATCTGGGAGGGATCTGCGCACAGGAAAGGGCTGGCCTGACAAGGCAGCAAGCGCTCTGCAGCCTGGCGCGCGCAGCCAGCGCCGGCAGACGGACGGGAGATGGCCTTGGAGCAGGAAGGCTCCTGCAGGGAAACCTGTCCTGCTCTCCGCGGCGTGCTCCCGTGGCGAGAGTTTGCACGGCGGCTCCCGGAATGAGGCTTGGTCTCTGGAGCGCGCGCGTCCTTACGCCCCTCCCTGCGCTCCCCGGGAATGGCCTTGGCCATACCGAAGGAGCGGAGAAAGTTCCTGAAAATATCCGGCTCCAATCTCATTCCTGAACCCAGGCAGCTGTGGGGGAAGCAATAAACAATCAATGCCCTTGGCCTGCGCTCAGCGCCGTCCACCCTGCCCCTGGCAGAGCCTGGGTGAGGCGGAGCGTGGGTGAGCGCGGCGCTTTGCTCAACGCGGGGAGCTGGCCCCGCTTCCCCAAGGAGGTGCTGCCTGGGCTTGCACCTTGGAAACACCACCATGATTTATCTCGCCACGTGCCTGTCCTAAAAAAACCCTTTGCTGCTTGAAAAATAATCCTGCCTGAGTACTCCAAGCTGTCCTGTTTAGATGCTCTCTGTAAGGGAGAGAGAAAACCTGTCGGAAAGGATTCAAGATGTTTTCTTCGTGCCTCAGCCACCCCTCGCAGATGTGATGTGACCCCAGGCCTGACTTCCCAGGCTTTACTGTCAGGAAAGCACTAGGAAACCCCAAACCTGCCCCAGGCCTGAGAGCTGCCCCGGCAGGGCCTGGCGCTGTCAAGGGACCCTGGTGTGAGGGAGGATCCAGTGGTGCTCCGGTTTGCTCCATACTGGAGGCTGTTGAACTGGGCGAGTACTCCCCATGGCAAGGGCAAAGCCCACGTTGTGAGAGGCCGTTTGGGCGAGGATCCCCAGCGGAGCTCATGGCTCCCACCTCCTCACTCTGTCTTTGAGGAGCGGCGCCCGCCTCTCAATGCAGGTCCGCAGGCAACATGGGGTAGCAGCTTTTATCTCCTTAACATGGCGGAGAGGATGTGCCAGCAGGACGGTGGCAAGACACACACCTTCATGGGCGCACGGGGAGCCCCGGGCATGTTGCCAGCAGGTTCCAGGCGGCAGTTGGAAGGGGACAGTTGGGCACCGGCGGCACCGCCGGCCGTGGCCCTGTGCTGGGGGACACAGTGAGGGCCAGCGCGAGGCCTGGAGGCACCGATGTGCCGCGGAGGCACCGAGCCCCACGGCCTGGCCAGGAGAAAGCGCCGGGGCTGCCCTTGGAGAGGTGAAGTGGGTCCGGCTCCCTGCAGGCTGTTGCTCCTGGGAGGTCCAAGCCTTGATAGTGGCCTCTTTCCCTTCGTTTCGTGTCTCCATGTAGGTTGCTGACTCCTGGGAGGGCTTTGCCACCATGATCTGTGAGAAAGTGAAGCAGTTTCTCACGGAGTTTGGGGACAACCCCAGCTGCGTCCCCATCCTGGTGTGCAGCTCCACCGCAGCCCTTGTGGCTCTCACCTGGGCCGTGAGGAAGCTGATGAAGAGGAAGTTTGTGCGAGCTAAGTACCACGAAGAGGCCCTGGAGCAGATGGAGAAGACTGTCCAGCAGTTCAAGGAAGAGGTAACGTCACATTCGGGTCCTTAGGCCCCATCAATAAGATGGCAAGTTTGTAGAGGAGGTTGTAGGCATATGTCAACTTTATATTCATCTTTGCCTACAAAAGGTGCTTGTCCTCCTCACTGTGCCTCCAGAGCTTGGCCAGAATTTTGGCTGGTTGCTCCCTAATCTGCTTCAAACAGGAGTACCTGAGTTACCATAAGCAGGTTGAACTATAAACAGGTTGAACCATAAGTGAATTTCTAGCTCGGTAGACTCTGCTCTCATAGATAATGCTCATGGAGCTAGGCTTGCACAACCTCCTTTACTCAGCCCATATCTCATGCCCCTTATCAGGCCACCCGCTTCTTGCTCAGTGGAGAGCGGATGGGGTCCAAGGCTCTCTAACTTCATGCATGCTGGAAGGAAGGCATTACTCAGCCTGTTGTTAGCTGGATCAGGTCCTGAACTAGTTGCAAATCATCCCTGTTTCCCTGTTTTGCTCACAGCTCAGCCTTCAATCATTATGATTTTCAAAACACTACTGGCATTGGCACATACCGGCAGTGCCTAGCAGATCTGGTTTAGCAGCAGCCCAGCCTTTAAGAGGGCTAACTCCCACACTCCCACAATGAATCTGATTTCATTGGGGTTTTTTTTTTGTGAACAGGAGGTCATTTGGGTGAAGTTAAATTGTTCCCGAAACCTTTGCAGAACCCGGATGTCCAGACTAGCCACATCCTGTCGCTGCCGCTGGCGGAGCTGGTGGAGAAACTGAAAGAAGGTTCCCTGTCTCCGGAGAGTGTCCTCTACTCCTACATAGAGAAGGTGAGGGACCAGCCCTGCTAGGCAGGACAGGCAGCAGATAAATCTCCAGTCTATAGAGACTTCTTTTCTGACTGTAGAATGAAGTAGTACATCTCCCTGAGTTATTTATTATATGTCACCTATCCAGCAGAAATGGCCCTAGTTCCCTTGTTCTGCCTATTTAGAGGACTGATCCTCTGGTACAGGGGCAGATCCTGCCTTTCTCCATGCTGCAGGGCACCTTCCACACCTTCCACTTCAGCAGGACTGGAAAGGGCTAGGAAGCACATCCAATCCAGGTCCCAAAGAGCATTAACCATTACAACTACCAAGCTTAATATATATAGTGATATATTTAAAATCTCTTTTGTGAGAAGAACAAAACAAACAAGCAAACAATGAAAACAAAACAAAACAAAAAACCTGCTTTCTTCCGAGCCTGAATTAAGCTCAGATATCACTTAGGAAGGTTGTCAGCTGAGGGCTCATGGGCCACATGTAGTTCGTAAGATGAAGGGCTCAACTCCTTCAAAGGAAAACCCTGGGATGGATCACTTCTTAGGTCAAATAGGAGACAGCAGAGAATCTCCCTGAAGATGGTGGTGGGTTTTCTCTTCTTACTGTTTCTTGCTTAGAGAATAAGCTCAGGACATTGAGCTGTGTGGACTAGAGGGGTGACTGGCCTTTCTCCTCTGTTGTGTGCTTCCATGCTCAGGCCCTGGAAGTCAACAAGGAGGTGAACTGTGTGACAGCATTTATTCCTAGCTGCCTGCAACACATTCAGGAAATGAGAAACAGGAAGAAAGGGTTGCTCTACGGTGTACCCATCAGCATTAAGGATCATGTGGTTTGCAAGGTGTTTTCTCTTTTCCTTGTATTTGGAAAGCTCAGGAACTAAGAGCTGGTGAGCCATTGGGGTTGGGTGCAAGTGCACATGCCATGTCATGAAGAAGACTACCGTGATGGTCTTTTTCCTATGCTTACTCACCATTTCATCCAGCTGGTTGGAAATAGATGGCAAAGGGACCTAAAGAAGGGTAAAAACCCAAAGGGTAAAGGAGAAAGGACATGGAGAAGTGTGGGATCGGGAAAAGTATCATAGTCACCTGAGCCTGGGTTTGGGAGTAGGGACAAAAAGGCTTATTTGCAGGCTGACTGCAGCTCCATGTTGGTGCTAAAGGTTTCCTGGAGTGTCAAATTCTTTTTGGGGGAACAGCCTTGAGATTTCTATGTCTTCATGGGCACAGCCCTCAAGTTGGGCCTGCAAGCTTACTCATTAGCAGTGGGGCTGTAACCTCCACTTTGTATCTCTAACGAGTTCTGTGTTTTCATTCTGGGTTCAAGGGCTGTGGATGCACCTGTGGTTCAGGAGAGAAGCTTAGTGTCCCAGAGCAAGAGGAGAGTGTACTGATGAGAGTGCTGAGGAGCCAAGGAGCCATCCCATTTGTGAAAACCAACACGGCACAATGTGTGATCAAGTAATTGACGGGACCTCCTCCCCTAATGGTTGCCTTGTCTTGTCCCAGGCTTAGCCTCCTGGAGCTTGCCCTGGGGCATGGTCTTGAGAGCTGGTACAAAATGACCCTTGACTCCCCCGAGACACCACTGAGACCTTTGCATCATCTTCCTAGAGAGAGGCAACAGAGAAGAGTGCAATTCAGCAGCTGCTCTGCAGTACACCAAACACTAAATTCTCTATAAGGTTGCATAGACGAGGCACAGCTTAGACTCTGTCCTCTTCCGTGAACTTGAAGTCACCTCAGAGATGGTAGTTCACATAACCATAAGTCGTGGTGCACCTGGTCTGCCCCTTAAATTTCTCTGTTTGGCTCCATCATATGGATGCAGCTGAACTGAGGACAGTGGCAAATGGCCAGCCTTCTCCCTCTTTTCTCTACTCATAAGCTCTGTGGTCCCTCGTGGGTTTTGTTTTCCCCTGTGCTTGCACTGCTTTCGGAAGAGGAACCAAGTGTCAGCAGCAGCAGGCTTGCATTGGCCACGTTGTTCATGTTGTTCACTTCTGAATTATGCTAGTTGTTCTCATCCAGCTGAAGTTACCAACTCCTCCATCCTACACAGCAGGAACAATGAGCAGGTTTCCAATGACTGACTTGTTCCTTTTTATCTCTTCCAGTTATGACTGCAGCAATGACATTTATGGCCAGACGCTGAACCCTCTGAACCACAAGAAGAGCCCCGGAGGCTGTTCTGGAGGGGAGGGAGCTCTGATTGCAGGGGGAGGCTCCATCCTGGGATTTGGGTTGGACATTGGTGGCAGCATCCGCCTGCTGTCCAGCTTCTGCGGGCTGTGTGGGCTCAAACCCACAAGCGACAGGCTCAGGTAGGTGCTGGGGTCTGCCCTGCCTGCATTATCCAAGGTCTGTGTTTTCTGACTGAGATTTGCAGACTGGTACAACTGATATGCTCTTACCGCCTCAGAAAGAGAAGCCCTCAAGGTGCTTGGTCCCCTGAGCTGCAGATAGGACAGATGCCATCTAGCCTTGCCCTCCTAAGACAGGCAAAGGACTGGGAGAAATCACCTGACTCAGCAAACCCAGAAATGCTGATTTAGTCTGGAATGCACCACCAAATGTCCAACCCACGTGTCTGGTCATCTACAGAGAAACTTTACAAGCTTTAGGAGGCAAGTCCCAAAGCAACCCAGTAACCAGAGAAGGGAGGAACTATGGGTGTTGCCAGTGTCTGAGGGACCTGCAACAACTAGTCTACTTAATGGCAGCCCTGTCCACAGGACTTTCTTTCTGATCACAAGCCTTCAGCAACTTCTCTAGCAGCAGGCTTGCAGTCTCTGTCTCACCTTCTGTCCATGAGTCTCAGATATTGCTGTCTTTTGTATTTAAAATTTTGTTTCTTTCTCTCCCATAGTTATTGGGGAATAAGTGATCCGGTGCATTGCCTCCAAACAGGTGAGCCAGTCTCTGAGTGTGGAGACCTCAAAAGTAAGGAGGAAGCTTGTTATTGATGCCAATAAAAAACTTCTTCAGAGAACAAGAGTGGCCAGATGGCTTCCCAGCTTGCCTTGGTCACAGGAAATTGCCACCTAGAACCACCAAGCTCTCTGGCTGCCTGCTCTTTATTCCAGTCATGAGCATGTCTATCCATGGGCAATATCAGCTTTGCCACAGTGGGAGTGGAAAACTTCCTCAGCTCTGGCCAAAAAATGTCTACCATCTTAATCAGCAAAAGGTAGACACACACAAGGTATTCATACGGCTTTTGTA